AATACTTTTCTTTGCCAGAATCAGTGGTACCCAGTCTTTACCTCCCAGCCCTGCGAGGTTGCTGTGTTAAAGCTTATTCTCACACCACGTGACTCTTGTCTCTAATTTCTTATAGGCTTAGAAAAAAAGCTTTATTGATATGTAGTTCACATCCCACACAAGTCACTCATTTAACGTGTAAATTCACAGATATGTGCAGCCATCACTACAGTGGATCTGAGAACAGCAGAAACCTAATTTCCTTTGGTTATCCCTCTCCACCCTCCTACCCCCTCCAGCCCTAAATAACCACCAATCTACTTTCTGTTTCTTCTTTTACTCTCTGAAGCCCTCAGGAATCAGCACTTTGGTATCAATGTCTCCAGTTTTGTGATCAGCTCTCCAGCAGGTGTACTCCCTCCTTCAGCTGGAGCCATGAAGGAACAGAACCACCTGCCTGTGAAAGTGGTTCCCCAGACGGAGGCTGAGCATGGGGTTCGCACAGAGTGCTCTCGCTCGGGCTGAAAATCTTGCCCCAGGGCTGGGAGACCTGCCTCAACCTGAAGTCCTTTCGTGGAGATCAGACTACAGCATTCATCTTTTTGCCTCTTTGCCTCTTTGTTGTTCAGCTCTTCCCTGCACCTTCAGTCTGTGGTTTTCTTTCATTCACACCCACCTTCCACCCTGCTCACCTTCAGGATTTTTCATCTGTATCTACCACATTCATCAGGGAACAAACGTATAATCCTTCTTCTGGCTGTCAGTCAATTTGAATACTGGTTATCTTCCCAGCCATGAACTGTAACACAGCTCTGTCCTTGGTTTTGGAAGAACAGTGAGTCAACATTATTTATCTTCGCTGAAGGCTGGATCTTAACCACCTTATAGTACCATTAATCTGTCAAATCATCCCCAAACTGCAAGGCATTATGTATTATCTAAACTGAGACTTCTTTTATATTAAAGGGCATTGTCCCCGCCTCTTATGGTTCTGCATACTTCCCGGGAGGGATAGCATGAGAGAGGGCATGTGTGGGATGCTTAGGAGGGGAGAGCCCCTTTCATCCCTGGCGGGCACATTAGAAAACAGGTCATGGTGGAGACCAGAGCATGGTAGAAACTAGTCAATAGCAAGTAGAAGAGTGTTCATGATTTTTTTCCCAGTTAATTTTTCATTTTAAAAATTATAAGTTATATTTTTGCCCTGCCAGTGTGGCTCAGCAGTTTAGCGTTGACTCATGCACCAAGAGGTCACCAGTTCAATTCCCGGTCAGGGCATATGCCCAGGTTGCTGGCTCGATCCCCGATGGGGGACATGCAGGAGGCAGCTGATCAATGTTTCTCTCTCTCTCCCTTCCTCTCTTTCTAAAAATTAATAAAAACATATTTTTTTTAAAAATTAAAAAATAAAATTACAAGGTTTTTCATAATTTTATATTCAATTTTTGCTATGAAGACATGGGCTGTCAGATTTTTAAAAATGTCACTGAATAATCTTTTTCTGGTGTGAGATATTTGTGGTATTAGAAAGCCTCTTATTTTTTAAATAAGCTTAGACATACATTATCTGTTCTCACCCTGGACTGTGAAGTCTAGGACAAAAGTAGTCCAGTAAAACTTCTGTTTTAGGGTCTTTCACTTATTAATAATTCACCTCATGAAAAATATCAAAATTTAGAGACTTTCATAAAAAACCATGATTCAGTAAACATGTAGTTTATTTTTATGGTGCCCACATAGATATGGGTACTTTCTGTATGTTCCTCCCCCCTTTATAATTCCTGAAACTTTAATAATAAAGGGCATAGCCTGCAGGCGTGGCTCAGTGGTTGAGCGTCGACCTATGAATCAGGAGGTCACGGTTTGATTCCCCACGTCAGGGCACATGCCCAGGTTGTGGGCTTGATCCCCAATCGTGTGTGTGTGTGTGTGTGTGTGTGTGTGTGCAGAAGGCAGCTGATTAATGATTCTCTCTCATCATTGATGTTTCTATCGCTCTCTTCCTCTCTGAAATCAATAAAAACATAGTTAAAAAATAATAACAAAGGGCATAGTCCTCTTGGTTTATGTTAGTCCTTCTAAGTAAAAACCTGCATTTTCTTGTCTTTCTAATCTTCAGAGCCACACAGCCACGTTTTCTCCTCCAATACCACGGGAAGTAACCCACGGCAGTGGCAGAGGGTGTCGCACATGTACTTGCATTCATTGGGTCCTGGCTGAGTTAACCGATTTCCCACAGAAGTCCATTTTCCCTTTCCTGAGTCACACCTGAGCCCGCGGCCCTATAAGGGAATGCTTCCCTGCTCGGTGATGAAATGCCAGGACGCGACATCCTTTCTAATGAGTCACAGTCAATACAAATTGTTTTCAAATGACTCTGCCTCTGCCTCCACACCGCGCTACGTGAAAGAAGAACCTCTTCAAATCAAAACATCTTGTTTCATCAGCCGAGCTCCGGCAGACCTCTCACTTTTGTAAGCAAAATGAAATGTGTTTCCACACAAAGGGAAAATCCAATCTGTTCTTATTTTTCCTCGGGTGCCCGTGTTCCACAGTAAGAGGAAATGACGAGGCACACACTGGAAAGTGTTTGCAGGGTTTGGGGACAGAGAAGCTACTGAGGAGTTTTGTAGACAATAATAATGAGACATCTAGAAGGATTGTGAACTCCTGAGAGCTCCCATATAAACTGTAGGTGGTGGGACTTGTGTGTACAGCGTGGTTGATCATGGTTTTCATTTGGAATAGCACCGGCCCTTTATTAGGAGAAGTGGGACTTTATTAGTGTCTTTCTGTTGTGTTGCTGCTAAAGATACTTACAATCTGGGCTTAGTGAATCCACAAATGATCCCCCAGGTGTGCACACATCAGCCACGGACAGCTTAACCTTTCCAGCTTGGGAAAATGGAAAGGAAGGAACAGCAATGTAATGGTCCTTGAGGGCTTAACTATCATTACCGTGAAAGGAAAAAAAGAAACTTTTAAGAAAATGCAAACAATCATGTGACACATTTTAGGGTGCAGCAGAGAGGGTGTGAATTTCAGGCTGGCATCCATAAAATTCCCTAAGGGGGAAAACACACAATGGATCAGGTTCAACTATAAATCAGAGCAATCCCAAGTCAGAACGAGATGAAGGATTTAAATGTGACCAGGGCTCCAAGCTGTGACATCATAGACAAGTGAGAACCCACTTGGACCTTGAACTTGACCTTCTTTCAAGCACTCCCAATAAAGTTACCCAGTAAGATAAAGAGGCCGGGGGTGGGGAATTAAATTTATCCATCCATTAAGAGTTTGTTTGTTTAAATGATTCAAGTGCCTTTGGTAATGCCAGATGCTTCTCTTTTGATGAGAGAAGGAAAATCATATCCAGAGAAGGTAGATAGAAGAGCCTGATAAATGAGACATGGCTGAAACATCCAGGCGTGTTTAGCAAGAAGGGAAGGAGAGGGAAAGTGTGTTCTGTAATTCCTCATTCCCCGATCCACAGCCCAGTGTTTGTGATCTGAGCATATGGAGTTGCTGATTTGAACTACTTGGCTACCCACTGAATCACGTTCCCTTCCTTTCCCTGCTATTCAAAGCTTTCTGTAATGTGGCTTTAAACTCCTTCTCCACCTGTGTCATGAGAGTAATCACCTTTCTGTACCCTCCAACTCCTCATGCATTTTCCTATGTATCCTTCATCTCCTAATACCTTCTTTATCCACTCAATTCCTTGTCTTTTGAAAACTTTTAGGGCCTAGAGGAAATTCCACCTTTCTTCATGAATGCCTCAAGCAGACACATAGCATGCCTCCCCTTGGGCAAGAGTGCTCGGGCCCCATGTCAAGATGCCTCGCCTTCACTGCCTGCTCCACAAATTGTGAAACAGCCCCAAGTAGACGGTGACAGTTCACAGGGGAAAGAGGGAAGGAGGAATGCCAGGATGCTGACCTGTACCCTCTAGTGAAAAGAGAACTATGTCCTTGTGATGCATTTGCATCTCAACCTTATGGACATAGGTCAGACTGCATTCTTCCTGAGAGCAGACGGGAGCCTCAACGAGGATTGCAGGTACAAGGAGACAGCAAGGAATGTGGAAAGGGCATGTGCCTTGGAGCAGTAGCTGCTCCCATAAAAGTGGGAGATCTGGTGGCCCCTCCCCCTGCAGCAGCCCGGGTAAGAAGATGGGTGAGGAGTAGCAGATGAGAACATTGACACACAGCCCAGAAGGTTTGTTCATGGTCTATAATTAGTAGCTTTGCTATTTAATAATTGTTTCAGTTCTCCTTTGTCAATAACACAGTGCCTCTCATAAAATAGGGACATATAAAATGCCAAAAAAATCCAAACTCAAACAAACAAACAGACAAACAAAAAAAAAAAACCTTCTTCAACTGCTTCTTCTCTGCTCCCACAATGCTCTGGTAGCCAATCTGACACCGACCACAGGCTGTCTGTTCTCTGATATTATGTATTCATAGAATACTTTGCAGCTTGGAAAGCATTTTCACAAACAGGGGCATTATCTACCTGGGAGGTTTTGATTCTTCTTGCAGATAACTTGGGTTTTGAGAGTTTAAGTAACTTGTCCAGTATCACAGAGCTAATATTTGGTAGAGCTGGAATACAAATGCAGGTTTTTCCGACCCTAAATCTGGATCCTACTTCCCTCCAAGGGTTGTGGTGTGGTTTAGTTTTTTAAAAAAATCTAGTGGGTATGAGAGCAATTTTCAAATTCTAAAGTACTACCTGGACGAAAGGAAGGATTTACCCATCGCACTGCAATGTCGGAGACAAGGCCATTTTTATCTTTGCATATAAATGCGCATTCTCAGGCCCACCCAGAGCAGCTAAATCCGGGTGCCAGCAGTCTGTGCTGACAAGCCCTGCAGGTATTCGGATACGTGCTCCGAGTCTGAGAACCAGGACGGCAGGAGAGGATTATCTTTTCTCTGTGGGGCCCTTGCACCTCAGAGGCTAGGCGGCATTATGGGATCCTTAGCAAGTATGCAAACCTCAGTTCTCAGAGGAGAGGGTGGCTTAGAGTGCTGAGTGAGCAAAGATTTTATTGGTGATTAAAAAAACCATTTAAAAGACTAAACTGGCAAGATTATGAGCTCTGAAGGGTGTTGTCTTACCTGGAAGGCAGATGTCAAGGGAAGCTTTAAGGAAAGGAGGGAAGAAGACAGGACTTTGAAAGGCAAATTCTTCATGGGTGTCAGAAAAATTCATGAGGGGGTGGGGGAGATTTATTATGACTTTTAATTCAGAAAAGAAATGACATTAATTTTTTTTTAAACCGCTGACAGTAGGCCTTTGGTAAGCGGGTAGAACAATCCAGGGGGATCACCAAGTGAGCGCTCATGAAAGCCCAAAGGGCAAGGTTAACCCCTTAGTCTAGAAAATGGATGTGGAGAATTGAGTGCCTATGACCATTTTATTTTGGAAACACTGATGTGAATTCAGCTATAAACTGTTTTCATTCTCCCTGAACTAATGTATTATTCTAAAGACAAAAAAACAAAAACAAAAAACAACACTGTAAAAGGCTCCTGGTTTCTTTAAGCTAGTGTGGATAATGCAAAATGTTGGCTGTTGCTGGCATTTGCAATGTGTACAAAATTAGCTAGCAGAAAAAATTGCTCAAGTTCAAATGTCTGTATAACCTGAGCAGTCTTCCATCTGAGTGGATGTGCCCACCATGTCTCCAAGAGCCTTCTGGTGTGAATTTTCATTTAATGTCCAACAATAGTACAGCCCAGAATAGGTTACTACTTAAAATTGAATGCTATACTAAAATGTTTACCAATGAAATACCAGGTCTGGAATTTCCTTCACAATAATTTATGGGAAGGGATGGTGCATTTTAGATGAAACAAGATTGGCTGTGAGTTAATTGTTGAAGTTGGGCATGGTACATGGAGGTTCTTTATACTAGTCTGTTTAGTATATGCTTGAAATTTTCTATAGTAGATAATATTTTTTCAGAGTGGATGCTAGATATCACTGTCCTAGAATCCCCTAGCCATCCTGGCATGCCAACTTTTCTCTGGCCACCCTTCCCTCTAGGGCCCTGCCTACTGATAATGCTCAGATCTTTCTTCCCCCTCTGCCACCCACTTCACCTCTCTCCCCCCAATCTGTGATCCACTAAAACCCTGTCTTCCTCACCTAAGGGGAATGCTTTAAAAAATCCTGTTCTATGCGAAACAAATAATTTCATTCTTCTTTGTTGAGACTTCTCATCAGCCCACATTGGAAGTACCTATTGTTTTGTAACTTAGCATACCCACTTACATTGTTTTTCTGAACAAAAGCTGTTCTAACCTCATGAAGAATTCTGCCTTCCTCCTAGCCCATCTGTATACCCCCCACAAGAACTCTAAAAGTTGTTTAACCTCAGAGTAGAAGTCATGAAGGGCAGGCATTTTCTATGACTCCAGGAAAGGGGATGTAGTCTCTATCTAGGAACTTCCACCAGGAGAGGTCCAGCTATGAGACTTGACCCTTGATTTGTCTCTGGCTTAGAGGAACAGAAGAAAAGAAATCCCTAGAATTCCCCAAAACTCTTGTTTTCTACGTATTTCTTTTCTTTTAAACTCCTCTTACTCCTTTTACCAGAACTTCTGGCAAGTAACATGTTGACTCATGATATTTTATCACTTCCTTCCTCTGGCTCACTTCCAGCGGAGATGCTAGTGAGTTGTCAAGTGACCAATAGGCAAGGCAAGACAAAAAGGGCCTTCCCGGTTACAAAAACTGTACAGTCCAGAACTTGCAATGACAAACTGAGACAAAGTTAGTTTAAATGAGGAGGTATCTCCTGCCTTTCAGCATGAAATCACTCTTTGTTTCCTTTGAAGTCCTGATTCCATGTTGCCCATCTGGATGTATAGAGCAGTGGTAGCCAACCTTTTGGACCTCACGGACCACCAGTTGGTGACCGCTGCTCCAAAGGTTTCCTTAAACCAGCGGTCGCCAACCTTTCGGACCTCAGGGACCACCAGTGGTCCGCGGACCACCGGTTGGTGACGGCTGGTATAGAGGATGCAGCCACAGGCATGACCCATATATCTCAGGGATCTTCATTTCAGCCCTGTTGAAAGGCTACTGAAAGGAACTTGTGGGACAGTTAAGTCTAGCTTCATCATCTTAGAGAGAGCTTGGGCACGTTTAGGCAAATGGCTTCTCTCCTTCCCACTTCAAGGGCCAGAAGGTCAGGCTGACAGTCCAGCTTGACTAGGGTCAGAAAAAAATGCCAGAAACAAAAGAAAAGTTGGTGGTGAAATACCTGGGGAGTCATAATTACAGGAGTCTAGTTTAGTCAGTTCAGAGTGCAATAAGGTGTGGCATGAGTTGGAGAATGGTGGGGAGGAGGGAAACTCCTGCATTCTATAAGCCATTGAAAGTAGAGTTGCTAGCCCTGGCTGGTTTGGCTCAGTGGATAGAGCGTTGGCCTGTGGACTGAAAGGTCCTGGGTTTGATTCCAGTAAAGGGCACTTGCCCGGGTTGCGGGCTCAATCCCTGGTGAGGGGCGTGCAGGAGACAGCCAATCAATGATTCTCTCTCATCATTGATGTTTCTATCTCTCCCTCTCCCTTCCTCTCTCTCTCTAAAAATCAATAAGAATATTAAAAAAGAAAAGAAAAAAGGAAGCAGAGTTAACCAGATAAAGTATGGAATACCTATTTAAATTTGAATTTCAGGTAAAATATGGGATACCCACTTAAATTTGAATTGCAATTAAATAACAAATACATGTTTACTATAGGCATGTCTTAAATATTACATGGGACACACATATACTAAAAAATTTATTTTCTATATACATGGAATTCAAATTTAACTGGGTTTCTTTGGTTTGATTTGCTTGTGACCTAGAGAGTAGCTTAGTCATTCTGACCCTTTTTTGCTCCATTGAATGGAACTAGTGGTCAAGGTGTATTTGTTAGGTGAAGTAAACACAAGGACTGTGGTAATAATGCCTTATCTTGACTTGCTGTCAGTGAAAAAGTCATCTATCTTTTTCTTTAGGAATGTTGTTTAAACAATGATTGTGCTATGCGGATAACTCCCATCCAAAGGTCTTTTATTACATCGTATATGCTCCCTGGACAGAGCATACCACAGAGAGTTCAGAAATGATTGCTTAGTTCTACTCTTTTTCTGCTTTTGATGCCTTTTTATATTACTTTTTTATTTTGAAAAAGTTCAAGCATGCACTAAAGAAGAAAGAACAATGACCCTCCATGTACCTATCAGCAGCCTCAACAACCATCTACTTATAATCGGTACTGCCTCACCCTATTCTCTCCATCCTGCCGCATTATTTTGAAACAAATCCCAGGTAGTTGGAGCTCTATGACTTTATAACTTCCTTTTTCTCACTGTACCTTTTCTTTCCCAGTAATGGAATTGTATGCATACTATCTACCCCAAATCTTCTTGACACTGCTCTATGTTTTCAGTTCTCTAGTTGCTTGCCTTCTCAAAAAAAAAAACCACTACATTGTCCAGCCCCCTTTGCCTCGAGGGCCCATGCATGAGACTTCAGTTTGAAAACCCTACCCACCTGGCAAGACTTTGGCTGGGACTTGAACTATGAGAGAAAACAGGAGGGTTGGCAGGTACATGCCATTAGGCCCGATCCGTAGTATTATTCTGGGAGCTGTTCCTGGAAGCTGATCCTAGGATATATTCCTCAGTTTTTCCAGTGAGCCCATGAGCTCTCTCACATACACTAATACCTCCTTCCTTCATACATTTGCTAGAGAAGATTCCATTGACTCCAACTTGGTTGCCTGACTGATAGCAAAGCTAATCATTCTTACCTTCTAAAGAGGCAAGAGAGGAGAGGCACACATAAGCATTCAAGTATCTCAGAGAAAAATGTGATGATTCGTGTGAGATTAATAATTTAGTTAGCACGTAAGCCTATGGGACTGTCCTAGATCCAACATTCTCAAAGCATGGCCTCCAACCCATAGCAGCAGCAGCAGCAGCAGCAGCACTTAGAGACTTTTAAATTCACATTCTTGGGCCCACTCCCAAGACCTAGTGAATCAGGAACCTTGGGAGGAGGAGAAAGGAAGTTGCTGCCAGGTTCTATCTCCACATACAAGAATAACTTCCCGAGGAATTACATTCATAGTGAAAAAGTAGGCGTTTGGTTTCTTTTTGCTTCTTCCTTTGTCTCCTTTTCCTGTAGCCTTTTGTCGGGGTCCAGCCTCAGCATGTCCAAGGGTTCCCAAAGGTGTGGAGGGAGTTGGTGAAGAAGGAATGACACGGAGGCAACATTCAGTTGATCAGCAGCCTAGCCAGGTTCTCTAGCCAAGATCTCCAGCCAAGTTCTGTCTAAATTCACATTCTTGGGCCCACTCCCAAGACCTAGTGAATCAGGAACCTTGGGAGGAGGAGGATCCCAGCAATCTGTGTTTTGACCAACTCTGGATGCTTTAAATCTGGGATCAGCAATGACAGCCTGAGATCCAAATCCTGCCCAAATCCTGCCCACTGCCTGTTTTTATAGATAAAGTTTTATTGAAACACAGACATGATCATTTAAGTATTGTCTCTGCTTTTGTGCTACAAGGCAGGGTTGAATGGTAGTAACAGAGACCATATGGCCCACAAAGCCTAAAATATTTACAACCCAGCCCTTCACAGAAATGATGAGTCAGTAAAAGTGAGTTGAACAGGAATGTGTGACACTAATTTATAACGAAGTAGAGCTATTGGGATTTGTTTCCGTGAAAGAGCTGCCTTTTACCACTTAGCTGAGGTCTGTGGAATATAGAATAACTGGCTGTTTCTAACTTCTATCCATGGCCATCTTTCCTGCAGAGGACTTAAATTGCTTTAGAAATGTGTGTGTGTGTCCCTGGCTGGTGTGGCTCAGTTGGTTGGATCGTCCTGTGCATTGAAGGATGGTGGGTTGGATTCCCCGTCAGGGCACATACCCACGTTGTGGGTTCGATCCCTGTTCAGGGTATATATGGGAGGCAACCGATGGATGTTTCTCTCTCACATTCATATTTCTCTCTCCCTCTCCCTTCCTCTTTCTCTAAAATCAATAAAAACATATATTTGGGTGAGGATGTAAACAAACAAACAAACAAATAAATAAGTGTATATGTATGTGTGTGTACATGAGCATATCTGGAAGACAAATTGTCTCTCAAACAGACAGGTGCAATCACAAAAAAACAAGAATAAGGCCTAATTTTATCCAGATATTAGGGAAATAACTGTAGGCTTCTTGCAAATCAAATGTGGTTATCTGTGTTGTTGGGGCATTTTTCACAAATGCTGAAAAATAGGGATGGTGGGTTCACAGAGTGAGTTCAGAGGGTGCAGAGAGCAGCTGTGGCGAATTATTTGAGATTGACATAAGGCAATAGAACTATTCAGAACCAAGTATAGATGATTTTTACTTGATCATGTTTCATTCCATTCTGCTTCCATCTTTCTACTTGAAGAAGAGGCAGCCACACAGTGAGGGCTCCACCTACTTTCTAGACCCTCACTACGTGAGCCCTAGGGTAATGCTTAGAAACTTGTCCTCTGAGCACCATTGATCCTGGGCAAGTGTTTTTAGGCCTGGTCCTCCCAGTTTTCTCAACTGGAAAATGATGGGGTGGGACCAGAGGATCTCTAAGATTCTTTCTAGTTCTAAAATGCAGTAAGTGCTTTGCAAATGGTTTAGTGATGCTTCTGACACTGATTATAATTGTGAGATACCTCCTAGGCACCATGCCATACTCAAACCTCAGCTCTTCGAAGAAGGAAACAGTCATTCTTACACAGTGGTAGGGAAGATGTGCTTATAATGTATGTCAGAGGACTTAACAACAATGCAATTTCTTTGACTCAGCAATTCCACTTTTAAGAACTTATTCTAACAAATAAGAAAAAATGTGTTCAGTGATATACCAACAAGCATTTTGGTTTCAGCACTGTATATAACCTTGAAAAATTGAAAGCAGCCTAAATGTCCTACCTAATCTATTTGGTTGAGTAATCTGTGGTATAAACATATTTTGGAATATTATGTGGCCATCGAAAATGATGTTGTAAAAATATATTTATTGCCACATACTATTGAGTGAACAACAGCTTCAAACATCATATTTTTGTTACTATATTTTCCTGGAATGGACTTACCATTATTTATTCCTACCTGTATGCCTACATTATCACCTACAAGGGTACACATGAAAATGATCAAACTGGTTACTGCTGGGTGGTAGGATTATGAATAATTTTGATCCCTTTGTCTTATCTTTATTCTAAATTTTTTACAATGATGATGTTTTTCTGTGTATGTATGTTAAAGCACACATGTGCACACACACATACACACATCGCAGTTCAGAGCAGTAACACAAAATTTAAATGGGTAAATCTGGATATCCTGCTCTCTGCCCGGTTGACATAAATGCCCTTCACCTGCAGCTAAATAGGCACAGCAGGCCCACAAGGGTTACAGGCTGCTCTGCTTTTGTAGAGAGGGAGAGAGGCAGGCACTGGCAGGCACGACACTGGAGCATTGCTCCTCCCTCATTTCCTGGCTAGGATGACCAGCTACCCCAGTTTGTCAGGGACTGAACGATTTCCTAAGAAGGGCGACTTTCAATACTAAACTGGGAAAGTCCCGAGGCAAACTGGGACAGGTTAGTCACCTGTGCCTGACAGACTTGGGAAGATTGCCTAGTACTCACGCAGGTACACAGGTACATGCCTGACTCACTCCAGGGTATGTGGTCTCTTGAGCGATCACGTACAAAACTGTTGCTGACCCTGGCTCTCCCGGCCAGCAGAGACTGTGCGCTCAGCAGGGTGGGGTCCGGCTCAGAAGAAGCTTTCTGACCCTGGAGAAAGCTCATTTCAGGTGACACCTCCTCTTCTCCGCATCTATCCCAGTGCCTGCATCTGTTCTGGGTTTGAGACTCTCTAAGTAAAATGAAAAGAGTGTTATCTGAATACTTCAGGCCAAATGAGCCATTCAGTGACTTAGTTTGCCCACTTCAATTATTATTAAACATTCAACTAATTCATGTTGCTGAAGTTGCATTTATTTGATCCTTTTAGCCAATTGTGCCCGTTCTGCCCAACCTCTCAACATACTTTTGTTGAAAGTGAAAGAGGAAAGAAAGGAGTCAGGAGTGGAGACCAGCAAACCACAGCGGTGTGGGGAGGAAGTCTGGGCAGTGATGAAAGCGGAAGTCTGTGTAAACTGCTGGGAGGTTAATACTGGATCTCTCTCTCTGGGTTGCACCCGCACACATATATAGGTGGTGGGCGAGATGGTGCAGAGTGGGACCAAAGCCCATTCAGCAGTGGAAGCGGTGGTCTCGTCTTGCTGCCTGTCACCCTTTATTTGGAAGTAGCACACCTTCATTTCTACCAGCTGAGTCAGGCTCATTCTCATGGGTGACTTCAGGGAACTGGTCCCATTGCTCACAGTCACATTATTCTTTCGGGTCTTAGTGTGCTGACGTGCTCTGTCGGGGACGTGTGAAGGTGAGCGTTTCCACAAAGCAGACTGAGCACATTCCCAGGTCATGCGGGTGAGTTAACAGGCGTTCCTTCTGTCTTCCACTCCAAGGTGCAAAATTCTGTTATGTCCTAATCCACAGGATCAGCACTTGGAGTAGAATAGAGTGGCCCAGAATTAGAATTAGCCAGATCTTAGGACCAAACTGCAGCTCACCCACGTGGCAATAACATTACGATGTTGGTTTCCTCAAATGTGCAGTGGGAATAATATATTTCCTACCTCATTCTCATTTTTCTCCTCTGCTGCCTTTGTCTGACCTATGCCCCCTTGTTGCCTATAAAACACAGAAAGAGGGTAAAGTTGATCCAGCGGTTTTCTAGATTATTCTCCTGCTCTGGCACACAGTGGCCATGAGCATGGAGCCTGGGTCTTAGTCTACAAGGGGCTTTAGAGTCACCTTTCTTTTCTGAGAAAGACTTGGATGCAGGGGTTTGGAAAGTATGTTGCATGGACTACTGGTGGGTCACTGGTTCTCCAGGTGTAAAATTCAGGGGAGAAGGTGCTCACGTCTCCCTGTGAGGAGGAAACATAGAGAAACACCACCGACTCGGGTGGGAGGACTCTTGGTTCTTCTCTTAGTCACCACCTGAGTCCTGCGCACATCACTGAATCCCTCTGTTGCTCTTCCTACCTCGTCCTCACCAGCAGCTCACAATGACAGGTTTTGGGTAGCAAGCAAATCCTTGGGTTTTTGTGGTTTGTTTTAGGAAGAAGAGGGAGATTAGGTAGGAGAATCCATCTCGCTTTCTGGTGAAGAAATAAGAGGTGTAGTGAGATGGGTTCAGGTGCATTTGCTGGTGGGAATGCAAGTAAATCCAGAGGAGGAGGATGTGAATGTGAGCAATGAGAGTTCCCTGAAATTACCCATAAGAACATCTGACACAACTGATGGAAAGAGGGTGTGCTGCTTTTGAATGAAGGATGACTGGTAGCAAGATAGGATCACAACTTGTATTTTTTTAAAATTGACTCAGTCTCACTCCATATCACACTTCCCATCTGCATGACTGTGTTTAACACAGAGGCATCACACACACTAGAGCAGCAGTTCTCAACCTGTTCGAATGACCCTTTCACAGGGGTCTCCTAAGACCATCGGAAAACACATATATAATTACATATTGTTTCTGTGATTAATCACTATGCTTTAATTATGTTCAATTTGTAACAATGAATATACATCCTGCATATCAGATATTTACACTACGATTCATATCAGTAGCAAAATTACAGTTATGAAGTAGCAACAAAAATAATTTTATGGTTGGGGGTCACCACAACATGAGGAACTGTATTAAAGGGTCGCGGCATTAGGAAGGTTGAGAACCACTGCACTAGAGTGATCATGAAAGTCCCACCGCTTAGTAAGCAAACCTAATCCAAGGACCCAGGACACTTACTTGACCCAATTATTCAGGAATGCCACTACTTCCTCCTCCTCCTGATATTTTGGAAGAGAGAAAACGTGGGTCCCAGAGCAATGAGAGGCCAGGTGGGGTAAGCTCAGGCATATTGGCTGGTGGGAGGACACCTTGGTGCCATATTTTAGAAAACAATTTGCACGAATATGTTAAAGCCTTTAAAAGTTCCCATGCATTGATCCAATAATTCTAGTTACAGGAATCCAGCCAAAGGAAGTAATCCAGGATGCCAATGAGCATGCATGTTAAGGGTACTCACTGTAGCATTATATATTAGAGTAAAATACTGGGGAGAAGTTGACATGGCCAAGCATGGGAAATATCTAAATATGTTTAAGTACATCTACAGGATGGAATTACATAGCCAATGAAGATAGTGTTTTAGATGCATTTGTTTTCTAATCTGAAAAGTAACACATGTACATTGTTTAAAAGTTTAAATAGTGCAAAAGGGAATTAATGAGAAGGAGGTCCCTCTCATCTCAGACCCCAGTCCTTCTCTATAGATAATGACAACTATCATCAGTGATAGATTGTGCTTTAGGAAAGAAAGAAGTGAAATAAGAAAATGACTTCAAAGTAATGGTAAGTGGAAGACACACATAAAAAAAACCCTAACTTTTCAGTATAATTACAATTTTAGAGAGGCGAGTTAAGAGTAATATAGAAAAGAAATATTCAAAACTGTTTCGGAGTGGTGAAATTAAGGGTAATTTTTATTTTCTGTGTTTTCTAATTTTTTAAATAATGTGTAATATTACTTTCTAATATTCAGCATTTAGGGAGCTAAAGATTGTATTCATGTTCAGAATTCAGCAAAGAGCACAAATGATTTTAAATAACAAAGTTTTTCAAACCTCCAAGATTTTTATATTTACACATATGCATTCCCCTATTCTCATGTGTCAGTTTAAAATAACACTGCAGGCCAATATATTTTTGTTCTAGAATACCCAGAAAATGAATTCTATCTCCCACCAGCCCTTTTTCAACATCTCACTAAATCAACACACAAGAAAGTTCAAATTTTTAATTAATATTTTTTGGTGGTATTGTGCTCAAACAGAGGGTTTTTGTGTGTTTTTTTGCATTTGAGTGCCAATTGCTGAAGTCTGAACTTTGCCTTTCTATAAATGAATCCATCAGGGAAAATAAGCTCAACACTGGTTCTGAGGTCAAGGTCTAATGTTCTGAGATTTTGCAAAAGAATCCCAAGGGAAAATGTTTGTCTGGTTTGTATATAGCAGCACGTAGGAACAAACTGTCCAAGTTCCCCAAAATGCGAATGTGCATTTGAGGTTCCAATGCAGATTTCTGAACTTGCAATGGTATTTCAGAATCCATACACAAGTTTTAAAGAGACAGACATCCCCAAATACCCCCAAAAGGACCCAGTAGCAGAAGTGTTAATTTCTGATGTTGGAAAGAGCTTTGGATACTTAAGGAGAAATTGGACCATTCTATTCAGGATCACCCTATCTACACCATATTACCTATGGTGACCGGTCAGGTTCACCAGTGTACCTGTGGCCAGCAGAACAAGCAAATATCTTATTTATATCCACAAACTAGTTAATTGGTCAGGTAAGTAATGGTGTTAGTAGTTATTGGGGAAAAATTGACATGGCCAAGCATGGGAAATAGAGACTAGCATATAGAGATTTGCTCTTGCCATGGATAAACAAACATGGGACTTAACTGAAGTATACTTGGCACCAAATGAGCAATTTTTTCTTCCCACACTTATCAACCTATTAGGATAAATGTGATGGCTGTGAGCTGGCAGGAAGAAGCCAGGACTGTGGGTAGTGGTCTGCCACTAGAACTGGATTCAGATGTTTATTTCCTCATATTTTGAGTTCCTGAGACCTGGTGCTTCATATATTTATAGATATAATTTGTATTAGTTTGCTAGGGCTACTGTAACAAGGTAACACAAAGTGGATGGTTTAAATAACAGAGATTGATTTTCTCACAGTTCTGGAGGTCAGAAGTTCAAGTTCAAAGTGTCAGCAGGCTTGGTTCCTTCTGAGTGCTATGAGGGGGGACCTGCTCCACGCCCCTCTCCTGGCCTTTGGTGGTTTGCTAGCACTCTTGGACGCTCTTCTGCTGCGAGACACGTCGCTCCAATCTCTTTCTTCATGCTCACGTGGTGTTTGCTCTGTGTGTGTCTGTTTCCAAATTTCTCCTTTTTATGAGAGCACGAGTCATACTGGAATTTGAGTTCCATCTTATTCCAGTATGACCTCATCTTAACTAGTTACATCTGCAATGATCCTGTTTGCAAACAAGGTCACATGCTGAGCACTGGGGGTTAGGACGTCAACATATGAAATTTTAGGTGACACAATTCAACTCATAACAAATCTATAAACAGATAAGTACATACATGTGTGTATGTATAATATATTTTGAGGGGAGATAAGCACAGGGAAGGCCAATTTGGCCTGCTCTAGACATGGGTTGCGTGACATGGAGTTTTACTTGATTTCTATAGCATTCCTGTGAACAATGTGTGTATGTTGCCGATTATAGCAGTTATGCATTACATACACTTGTGGCATTGCCTTTGAATTTGATGGTAGAAAGATGTCTTATGTATCAGTATTTTTTTGGGGGGGGGTGTCAATAATAATAGCTACATACACATACAATTAGCATATAGGCATATGAGATGTGGTTTATGTTTTCACAGAATTTCTTGTTCAAAGTCAATAGCATCACTTACTTCTTCATTTTGGTTTAGAAATGTATTTACCACACACTAGTTAGTTTTAACTTGGGCAGTTGTGGGTTGTCAGAGCAGACTTTGATGACCTGGGTCTGGTATTTGGCAGGAATGGATCATCTAGAAGTTGAAAACTTCTACAGCCTCGTGGTGATGGAGAAAATGACATTGTGTGGACCCTTAGGTTTGCCCTGTCTCAGCGGTGAGTGCAGTGGGCCATGCACAAGTATCACAGCAGAAGTTCTGTGGTTTTCCCATGAAAATACCTGATCTCATCTGTTCTTTGAACTCCTTCCCAAAGAAACGGAGGGGTACTGGGGAGCTATACCAATCCTCAGAGAACCGATCCAGGTTAACCTCTGACCTGGGATCAGAAAATCTCACGTATGTCCAAGAGAGCAAAGCACACATTTCAGGAAATAGAACCTACGTCTCTGCATGTTCTAGAAAGCTTTATCTTCCAGAAGAAGCCATTTGCTGAGTGCAGGTTATAGTTATGAGGACACCAAGGGACCACAAGATGAAAAGGCACAGCATCTGATAAGCAGTGTTAGTAAGACAGTGAAGACTTAAAAATAATTACTTTTTCAAAGAGACAGGTGGTTCTGAGTTTTAAGGTGGGATGCTAATGCATTGTAAGTGTTATTTATCATTCAAATGTAGACCAAAACCCTTTAGACACCCCACATACCCATCCGCTAGCTCCAACAACAACTAATAATTGTTATACATTAATTGTTTAATAATGACAACAGCAATTATTAGCCATGTAAAAGCTGTGCTGGAGAATATTACAAGTAGCAGACAGGACATTGAGGAAAAAGGAAAAATCAGCTGGGGTATTTCTTGACAAGCTCCAATTCCTAAACCAATAGCCTATTGCGTGTGGACAGAGAGGACCACTGCAGACTCACAGCGAGCCCAGGCAGCCAGCAGAGTCTTCCAGGCAGGGGCTCTCACCCCCTTTCTCAGTGCTGACTTGGGCAATGTCCCAGAGGCTGCTCTGTAAGAGTTAAGACTTGATATTTTGCCTAGCAAACCCTCCCACTGCAGCCGCTGGAAGGACCAACGCTCTCAAACTTTTCAATTCGTGAAATCTTTTTAATGAGGCCAAACCTTCCAGCCATGTGCCCTGGCTGTTTGCTCTGACCACGAGGGAGAGAGAGCTTGCCTCTGTTCCCTCTCTCTGTCCAGTGTTTCGTTAGATGACAAGTTTCCAGCACCCCAACTGCTCAGAACAAAAGACCACATCTTTCCTCTTCGTGCTGGTTGGGGAACATAAATGTGTTTCTCATTATTTGGCTTGTTTTACAGTGTGAGTTCCTGCTGGGGTTCATTGCTTTGGGGATCACTAGGTATTTCATCTCATACCAGACTGGCCCTTCCCTAACGTTTAACAATGGCAGTCTGTCCAAAGACAGGAAACTCTGAAGTGCTTTGCTAAAGTGAAAGGCTCAACCAAATTAAGCTTCGGGAGATCTTTCCTGTTTTAAAAAAATTCGTAATTCCCTTATGGCTTATGTGTATATGTATGGGGTGGGGGCGGGTACCTGGAATAGGGTGGTGGGTGGTAGGACAGACCCAAAGGTAATTCCCAGGTTCAAAGCCATCGTGGTGCAATGGAAAGGGAACAGGCCTTGGAGCCAGAAGGTCTGGCTTGAATCTCAAATCTTTTTTACTGCTGTTGGAACAGTATGTGACTTCAAGAAAGTTAATTTATCTTGCTGTGCCTTCCTTTCATCATCTGCAAGGAGATGATATAACCTGCTCCTTGGGATTGTTGTGAAGATTCAATGAGGTGCTAAAGAAATCACCTGGCACATTCTGAGTGTTCAATAACTGGTGCCTCTTCTTGCTATCTTCTCGTGTAATGGCCAGGAGTGTCAGCATTGCAAACACACACAAGGTCTGTGTTATCAAGGGAAACCCATATCCATGGGTAGAAGTTTACAGGAAGGCTTTGCTGTATGTTTGAGGGTCACTGATAGGGGGCAGGGGGAAAACATTGATTAACCCAACTCTGACTTCTCTGGGCAAGTCACTTAACCTTAGTGACCTCATTAGAGAAACATCTATTGAGCCCCTGCCTCCAGCTCCAGGGCACTGGGTCATCCATGATATGGAAATCATAATAATCCCCACTTTCATCTTATGGTTGCCCTGGGGATCAAGTGAGATAATGTCTACGAAAGTACTTGGCAAACTTCAAGCACTATCTAAATGTGCTGTGGACGTGAGGCAGAGAGTACATTTACTCTGTCCCATTCATGAGGTTCAAATACAAACCTTTCATTCCTGGGTATTCAGCAGAGAGCAAACACATTCTATTTGACTTTAGCATTGAACGAAAAGCAAACAGTACCTTTTCAGATGCTTTGCTTCCTCTCTTCTCCCTTCAAAACAAAGCCAGGCCCTTTAAGTGCTTCCTGCTGAGTTTAGAAAGAGGTGCCTGGTTATAGCCCCCCTTCCTTCCAAGGGCCTAAGAGGGGAAAGCGAAAGTGAGGCATTGGAACAGGGGTGTCTAAAGATGCCTACATTGGGTTCTTAATTAAGAGATTGACCTTTTTGCAACCCCAAACTAGGACCCAGCACCCCAAGCAATTGCCTTCTTCTTCCATGGGGCACTCCCAGGAGGAATACATATGAAAGCATTTGGACAATATCAATATCGCTGCTGGATAGTGTCAAGTGTTACTCTGAAAATGAAGGGGGGAGGGAAGGCCCCTTTTTTCTCCCTTTCTATTTATACTCTTACTGCCTTTGGATACTGTGCTTTACCTTCCATAAAGCCTCTATGGCAGTTAAATCCCACTGTTCCTTCTCCCTCCTCTGCCCTCTAGTATAGTATACATTTTCCATTCTACTCTTTGGCCTTAATGATTTTATTCCTTCTCCCTCCTCTGCCCTCTAGTATAGTATACAATTTCCATTCTACTCTTTGGCCTTAATGATTTTATTTTCTTATTTATTCATTAACAATTTGCCTTTATAGCAGGCACTCTGGTGGTCATTGGGGATCCAATAGTGAACCAAACAAACATGGTCTCTCTCCAGAAGGAATTTGCCATTTAGTAAGAGGGGAGATTTCCAAAAAAAGAAAGGAAGAAAAAGAAAATAAATGGAACATAATACATCATAAAGAGTGTAGCTTTGCCCGACTGGCGTGGCTTAGTGTTTGATCATCGACCTATGAATCAGGAGGTCACGATTCGATTCCTGGTCAGGGCACATGCCCCGGTTGTGGGCTCAATCCCCAGTGGTGGGTGTGTAGGAGGCAGCCAATCAATGATTCTCTCTCATCATTGATGTTTCTATCTCCCTCTCCCTCTCCCTTTCTCTCTGAAATCAATTAAAAATATATTTTTTAAAAGTGTAGTTTTTATTCTGAAAGCAATGTAAGCCATTGTAAAGAATTTTTAAACAGCTTTATTCAGCTATAAGTGACATACAATAAGCTGCACATACATATATAAAATACACAATTGGATAAGTTTGACATGCGTGTATACCCATAAGACCATCACCACAATATAGTGAGCACATTCATCACCCCCAATGTTTTCTTGTGATCCCTCCTTTCCCTTTGGTCTGCCTGAAGCAATAACTGGTCGGCAACACTGCTGATTAGTTTGAATTTCCTAGAATTTTATATAAATAATCATACAGTATATGGTCTGTTTTTGTATGGCTTCTTTCACTCAGCGTATTTATTTTGAGATTCATCCAAGTTGTAGTGTGTATCAAGAGTACATGCTTTTTACTGTAGAATAGTATTCTGTTGTATGATATGCCAGTTTGTTTATCCACTGACCTGTTGATGGACCTTTGGGTTGCTTTCAATTTTTGGTTATTATAAATAATATTGCTATGACCCTTTGCATATTTATGTGGGATATATGCTTTCTTTTTTTTGGCGGTAGATGACTAGGAGTGGGATTTCTTAATTATATGGTAAATTTATGTTTAATTTTCTAAGAAACGTCCAGGTCTATTTGACCTCCAGGTCATCATTCTGTTCATGTCAGCTCACTGTAGAATTATGGAGACGTAGACAATGATGGTGAAGAAGAAAAATAATAGCCGACAATTATTATAGATTTCTCACATGCCAGGCATTTGTGCTAAGAATTGTAAATGCATTAGTCCCTAATACCTCCCATAAACCCTCTGAGGGGAGCATTATGATTATCCTCATTTACATATGAGGCCACCACTGAAAATTTTGGAAATTAAATAACTTGCCCAAGGTCTCTTGTTTGATAGCAAAGAAGTGAGAAGACAGGTCTTTCTGGCTCCCAAATTTGTATTCTTAGCTACAGTGTGAGGGGGATTGAGCCAGTGGATGCTAAAGTCAAGACACTTACCTTGTGCTTTGCTTTCTTCTCAGACCCAGGGAAAAGGGGAAACACAGCATTCTGTGCCC